GAGATTTTCATAATGATTTCATGCAATAAGTTGAAGTGCAACGGGACATCCCATCCGATGAAGACATCCCTCCATTTCTGATTGAATTAATTAATCACACACTGGGAGAAAAACATAAACACAAAATAATTACAATATACAGTATCTACCAAAAATAGACATTGGTTGAAAACTTGCATTCAATAACAGTTATACTAAAATGCAACTCTGATTTTTTTAACACAGTTACACAACAGTTACTATTTATATGAAAAACAGTTATATTCATTAAAAAACAGTTACACCTATTAAAAATCAAAGCAATCTTTTTTTTCAGCAAAGTTACACAACAGTTACTGTCTATACAAAAAATAGTTACAACCATGAAAAAACAGTTACACCCATTAAAAACCAAAACAGTCTTTTTTTTTTTTTAACATAGTTACACAACAGTTATTGTCTATATGAAAAATAGTTACACCCATTAAAAATCAGAGCAGTTTTTTTCCCCTTCATCCCAACAATGAACAACTTGGCCAAAAAAAAAACAACATAAAACACAAAATAATAAACCCAAAAACAATTTTTTTATCCCCTTCATTCCAACAACGACCAAACATACACAGAATCGAACATGTGAATTTCTCAAAAAAAAATGATCGAATTGTAGAAGAAATATAATTATTTTGTTTATACTAAAAATAGTCACATCTATAAGAAACAGTTGCACCCATTTAAGATCAAAACAATTTTTCACCCTATTTCAAGAAGAAACGAACATAAAACAAAAATCGAACATAGAAAATTCCCAAAAAAAATGACCAAAAAAGGAAGAAATATAATTATGAACAACTCACCTTCAATTCGATGACGATGATTGATATTTGCAATTCCTTTTCCAAAGAAAACCACCATCGAAGAAATAAATCGCCGTTTAAGAAGACTTATGTTGAAGAAAACTTATCAGTTGAACACGTTGAAGAAAACTTTTGTTGAAGAAAACTTTTGTTTCCTAAAATAACTGTCAATTATGGCTGCATAAAATAAGGAAGGGTCTTTAAGTAAAAAAGATTTTAATTCATTTGAATTTTGTACCTAAACATAAAATTTTTCATAAAAATTATACTTAATAGAATAAACCACTTCCCTATATAATTTTGCTTAAATAAATATTGAAAATTGTATCCGCACCTAAAAAAACCTTTTTTATTTAGATCATATTTTAAGGCCTATAAAATTTGGGGGCCTTCCTTCTTTATGGGCGGAGCCTAAAGTCCTTGCTTCAATTCCAACAGTGTTGGGCTGGCTCTACTCTCCCGGTCTGTATGTAGGTTATTGCATGCATACATACTTATGCACCCAAAAAATTCACCATTATTGGAAATTGTGGAACTTTTTGTAAAATTAGGGTTTTGAATTGTTGGTACAGGATGCTAATAGACTGATAATGCAATCTGAGAAGTACTCCCACTATGTGGATATTGGGGTCCTTGTATTTGTGGATATTTTTATAATTTTTGTGAGCATTTTTATTACTTTTATTATACGTAGAGTCTTAATATTTTTCGATCGCAACTGCCACAAACTTGTTAAAACACTTACAAAATTGTAAAAATATCCATACAAATTATAAATAGGGATGACGTTGTAGTAAAACGCTCATCCTACCATTTGTGACTTTAAGAAGGAATCGAGTAAAGAATGATCTTGTGCAACAAAAAATAAGTTCTTGTTGTCTCCCATACCTTTTTTGAGGGTATGGAACCATTGTCGTTTCAGCGTAACTGTGTCTGGAGGTATTGTCTAATAGCGGCTCATCATCTCTCGTCTAACTTTTAGACACATTCCAATATATATATATATATATATATATATATAAAGAAAAAGAGAGAGAGAGAGATGGATGGAAGAACTGTTGGGGGCTTTTGCACAGTTCAAGAAAATAGGTATTTATCGCACCCATTTATTTTTATAATTTAGGGTAAATATATTTTAATCTCTAAAGTATATGTTTAGTATCTATTCAGTTCTCAATTTTGTAATTATGTTTACTTGATACCTAAAGTTTTTAATTGATATCTAAGTGGTTTAATTACATAGATTTTAATTTTGTGTCTATTTGGTCTCACGTGATTGACGCGTGACCAAAGATGTTAATAATTTTTTGACGAACGTTTGAAATTTGACTACATAGATCTAAATCAGGAATCTTAGAAACCAAATAGATACAATTAGAAGATTGAGGATCAAATAGACACTACACGCATACTTTGAAAACTAAAAATATATTTTATCCAATTTATATTTATATGTGCAATACAAAATTCTAGTCATTGGAGTCTAACGAAATCACGGAGATTCTAAAGATGGTGATATGAGCTATTGTTTTTGTTTATGTTGAGTCTACAGAAAACTGAATCGGTTCTTGCACATAAAAAAAAGAGATAAATAAGTAAGCATATTAGGTAGAGGAAGATTAAATACTAAGAAATTTACGTTCACGTGAAGGAATGATGTATCTCTCACCCATTTGTCTTTTTTGAGGTTTGTTTAAGTTTATTGGATCTGTTTCCAAGTCAGAGAGAGAGAGACACACATTCATCCTGTGTCCGTAATTTGAAGTCTTAGTCCTTTGAATTGTACAAAAGTTCAAAGATTTGGTAGATATTGTGATCTGAATTTAGTGTTTTTTTATGGTGCAACTATCGATAAGATTCACATGGTGTGTCTGGCAGTTTATTTAATTAGGACTTGGCTGAGACAAGAACCAACTATCACCACATACTTTTATATATTATTATATTTGTATGTGCGTGTATGTATGCACCTACACAAAAAAAGCACGTGCATACATCTAGAAACTCTTAGTATTTGATCTGTACAAAAATTCATAGATTCTATAGAAATAACGTTGGGTGCTTTCTCTTTCCGTACACCAAAATTACTAACAAAAGTTACTGTGTCCAGAGATGAAATTACAAAGAATAATTAGCCATGTGACATAGAAATGACGTTCAGAAAAGACCCCACTGGTAGAATCCAAGAAAATTTGGATTCAAGTGTCTCAATAATTTATGGTCTTCTCAGTCGGAGAACAGAGATGGCAGTAAGTGTTGGACTTTTGCAGAATCCTTACAGTAAACTCCTCATCAATCGCATTCATCTATGTAATTTTTTTGTATGATTCAATTATGAATTAACAGATTTTACTTCACTTTTTTTGAAATTATTTAATTATTTTTATAAGCAATTGTAATAAATTAATCAAACTAAAATTAATTTATGGCTAAAAATCACTTTACTAATGTGCCAATTTTATTTATTTATTTTTTTTTTTTTTGCGGTATCATAGCCCTATTCTAATTTGTCATATAAACTTATTGACGAGCAGGGTGTAACCCAGTGACACTGGAGCAATTGTTTGCGAGTGTTTCTGTTAAAAAAATTGGAATCAAACCCTCTTCCAAGAGCAATTTTTTCTGATTCGTACGTGCGTTCCATTGGTCTTCAATAGAAACATGTCTAAGTTGTAACTTTAAATCTTATACCTTGCACCTAGGAGTTATACCCAAATGAAGTATAATTTACAATCATCATGAATTACTGCAATTTCTCCTTTGTAGGGTCTAACTTGACCTTTTAACATAGGAAGTATTGATATGATACTAAATTTCTCAAACTCTTAGATGTGATTTTTATTTTTGTTTCGTTTAGTATGGTGGAAAAATAGAAGAATAAAAAGTTGAATGGATGAAAAGTTGAAGGGATAAATAAAAAATTATATTTGGTAACGAAAAACAAATAAGAAGGATGGACAAGTAGATGAATTAATTTTCCTTCCAACTTACTAAAATCATTCCCTCCAAAATCGGACGAAAAGTGGATGAAAAGTTAATTATTTATGTTCAGATGTATATTATTTGTCTATATATTATGTATAAATTAATTTCATATAAAAATATAATGTTAAAATATGTATATGTATATATATATATATGTGTGTGTGTGTGTGTATATATATATATATAAATAAATTAAATTAAATCAAAAAAAATTATTTTAATTAGGGGTGAAAATTTTCGAGTCAACACGATAACACGACTAGAATTCTATACGAATTTTATGACATAAACTTGATTATAACTCAACATGAATTTAAAAATAACCTAACAAGCGAACAAAAAATATAAAAAACTCATAATTTTACGACTCAACATGAATCTGACACGACAAGATTCTATTATCACCTCTAATATTAGTCAACATAAAAAAAATTAGTCATTTTTATTTTTTATTCATCCAATCAAACACAAAAGGAAGAAACTATATCATTTTTATTTTTCATACTTAAAAGATAAAAAATATATTTATAATACATTTTCATCATTCCTAGTAGCCGGAGCATTATGATTTTTTTTTGGGTGGGCAACTTAACCCATAGTACTTGATCTCTCCAAAAGTTCAAAGATTGTAAAAGATGATGTGACCTGGTTATGTTTTGTTTATGTGAAACAACCGACAACATTCATATGGGGCCTGTAACTGTTCATTTAAATAAAGCTCTGATACAAGAATCAACCACCACCAAACATCTAAAGTTTTACGTTAATATTTTAGTATGCTATCGAAAGTTATTATTTTTTAAAGTTAGATCATACTTTTTAAAGATGAGAATATAATTGTTTGAAATAATTCACTATCAATCATGATCTATATATTATGATTAATCATGAATTACTTTAATCAATTGTAACTTGACATTTAAAAATTATAATTTTTATAATTGATCATAATATTTTGAGATTGATCATGTAACTTATATCTCAAAAAAATTATAATTTTTAGTACGATTTCAAAGATAATACCATGGTCTTTCTTGATGGAAAATACATAACCAAGCACGTAGAGGTCATACATAATGCAACGTCAAAACGTTGTTTATTGGAAAATGGAAAATACATACTGATTTTTTACATCCTCTTGCACCTGAAACCTCTTGGAATTTCGAAACTAGATAGATGTCAGTGCTGAGGCAGAAGAACAGAATTTGGAAACCCATCTGTGCCATTGGTGGGAGCTCCTTTTATGTTGAGGATTGATGTAACCACGTTGTAAATCTCAACATTCTCAAAGGAAGGGACCTTCTTCCCCCTAGCAAACCGAGGGCCATGGCCTATGAATATTGATCTCATTGAGAAATACTTATTGTCATACGCATGTGCTCCTCCACAAGTATCATCTCCGGCCGACCTCGATTGTGTCACGATATGCCCCTCGTCGACCAACCCGATTATCGGCGAAATCCGATCACTGGCAGAATAATGCAGCCTCGTAGGCAGATCCTCCTTGAGGTAAACTTTCAAATGTTTCCCATTTTCAGCATTTTTCAATCTCTCAGTCATATTCGCCACCACATCCGCCGGAGAATAACTGGCCGGTGGGCGAACACCCAGTATTGCCCAATTATACTCAACCCAATCTTGTGGAATTGCTAAATCATCTAGGTAGATGTACTTTTTCTCACATATAGCCGCCATGCCATGATCACCCACCAAAATTATGTGAACATCCTCAAAGACCCCTCTTGTTTTCAGACCTTGAATCAACCTTCCAATCATACTATCAATCCTACCAAGAGCTTCAGTGAGTTCAGGATCATCAGGTCCAACATCATGACCCTGAGAATCTGGGTCCGGGAAATACAGATTCATGAAGACAGGAATTTTTCTACTTGGCATATCAAAATACTCCAAAATAGTATCCACACGCTCTTCAAACGGTACAGAACTATTAAATTTCTTACAAAACTTCTCCTCGCAAGTCCATTTACCTTTAGGCGCCTCAGAACCTGGCCACATATATGTCGCAGCATTGAAACCATGGTTCACCACAGTCTCCCACAGTGGCTCACCAAACCACCACTTGGGGTCACTACCCCCAGTGGCCCTAGTGAAAGTCTCGTTAAGCTCCGGGTCAAAAAAATTATTGTAGACGATTCCGTGATAAGGAGTGTACAAACCAGTGGCAATAGAGTAATGGTTTGGGAATGTTGCAGTTGGAAAAACCGGAATCAAACCCAATTCGGCTTCGGTTCCGTTGTTTATCAAGTTATCAATGTTTGGTGTATCGGTTTTGAATTGGTATCCGAATCGAAACCCATCAGATGAGATCATGATAACAACTGGGCGCTTGAGTTTGGTGAGTGGACGGGAATATTCAGCATTGGATTCGGAGATTTTCAGGTTGGGTTGAGCTTGAGCATGAGGTGGTGAGGAAGATAAGAAGAGGAAGGCAATGGCCACCGCTCCTGACAGAGCTAAGCAGGTGGCGAGGAGGAGAGAAATGAAGGGGACGGTGGTGTGTTTTGGTGGAGGAGTCGAGGAAGTGTCTGCGTTATAGGAACGGGAGAGGAGAGATGTGGTTGAGTTTGATGGGTCTTCTCCATCCATGTTAGAGAGAGAGAGAGAGAGAGAAAGAGAAGACGCAGAGTTTGGTGTAATGGAAGGAGACGGAGTGGATGTGGATGTACACTAGAGTTGGAAGTAGGGGTTTATATAGAGACCTGGACTCAAAAAAAGAAAAACTAAAAAGACAAATCCACTAGTAAAAGGACGAAATCGCTCCTTTTTTTGTAGGTTTATTTATGTGTATGATGATTATTAATATTTTTTGTTAGAGAAACGATGAAATTTCATTAATCAAAGATATTTTTCAAAATGTAGGTAATACTATAGAAAAAAAAAATGAGAAAATGTACTGAAAAAATTATTATTTTTTTAGGTTAAGTTATATTTTTTAAAGGTGAAGTTATAATTATTTTATCTTTAAAAATTATTTTTTTTATTTTTTTAATTATAATTTTTAACGTTGCTTGACATGTTCTGGTATCATGTATTTGTATAAAACTGAGGAAAAATTTGAAAAGTTCAATTTATTGTTTAGAGTTATTATCTTAAAAAAGTTTATCGAAAAAAAATTAGTACTTATTGTTTTATGAACGATGTACATTCTCTCTGTCTATCATTGATGTAGTTTCAAAATTGACATGTGTCTGTATTAGTTTCATTTTGTAGCATATTGAACTTGTGGCTGCATGCAATGACTAATTTTGGGGTAAAAAAAGAGTTAGTAATAGCCACTTCTTAGGCATACAAATTCAATGTTAAGAAAAAAACAAAATCACTCTGTATTTTGTGGGTGTATGATTGTGATAATTAATATTATGAGACAATACATGTCAGAGTTTTTTTTTTTTTTTTTTTGGTAACTTCAGCTGGCATTGACTTGTGCCTTATGAACCATACAGTTGCTTTGAGGATAACTTTGGAGTTTAATAACGTCTTATTTATATTTTCCCTAATATTTTTTTTTTCTTTTTCAACATACCAAACAACCATTCATGAACCACTCGATTCATAGGCTTGTCATAAATGTGTTGTCTTCTAAGTAGAAAATGAGATTGTCTACGGTATCAACAAAAAAAAAAATTATTATATCTTCAAAATTTATTATTTTAATAAATATTTTTATAATTTTATAGATCATTTTATAACTAAAAAATTTATTATTTTGTGGATAATATATTACATTTATGAATATTTTTATCACTGTTGTGTGTATTTTTATCAATATTGATATAACTATTTTTACTATTTCTTGGTGGGTGATTTATTACATTTGTGAGTGTTTTTTTATTATTATTGTGGTAATAATTTTTATCGCTTTTTTTTCTAAACAAAAAAAATTATTATTTTCTGTATTTTTATAATAAAAATAAGTACAACACCAAAATTTATTTTTTGATACCATACACAACTCCCGACAATAGAACAACTAAGCAAAAGACAAGCGCGTCTTCCTACTCCCTTGCGGACTTAACGTTTTGGCTGGGATAGGATATCATTTAGAAAAGGGATATCACTCAAAAAGCGGATTTGTTAAGTCTGCTTTCTAATGAAAGTGGATTTATAATTTCTGACTTTTAATAAAAGTGGATTTAACACATCTGCTTTCCTTAAAGTATAGTTATAATTTTTCTTTGTTAAAAACGGATCTGATAAATACGGTTTCATTAGAAAGCGGATTTATTAAGTCCGCTTTTAAATGAAATCGTAATTGTTACATCCGCTTTTTTAGATAAATTCGTATTTAGGAATTTCGCTTTTAAATAAAATCGAATTTCTTAATTTCGCTTTTAAACAGTCATAGTTTGATAAATATGTTCAAAATGACTGTAAATTGGTATTTAAGTTTTAAAGTTGTCATACTTTGGTAATAGATGAGAGAGAGAGAGAAAGAGCACTCGCTAGGTAATATAAACTTCTAGTCATTGGAGCCTAACAAAATTTCGAAGATTCTAAAGATAATGATATAGACTATTGTTTTTGTTTATGTTGAGACTACAAAAAATCGATATTAATGGTATTTACAACAAATCGCTTCTTGTAGATAAAAAAGAGAGATAAATAAGTAATCATGTTAGGTAAAGAGAGATTAAATACTAAGAAATTTACGTTCACGTGAATAATGATGTATCCCACTCCCACCCATTGGTCTTTTTTGAGGTTTGTTTATGTTTAGTGGATCTGTTTCCAGGTCAGAGAGAGAGAGAGAGAGAGAGAGAGAGAGAGAGAGAGAGAGATTCGTATTCTAGTTGAAAGGGTTGAGAGTTTTCAATAATTTATGATTTGTGGTGTGTTCACTCTTTACGAGAATTTTACATTTGAGAACGGCAAATTTTTCCAACCTTTTCAAAAGCATTTTTTTTTTAATATATTTGTATGTTTGTACATAGTGTGATATGTATTAAATTTTGTTTATGATGAGATTGTCGATAATTTTCACGTGGTGTGTCTAGCGGTTCATTTAAATATAGTTTTGAGACAAGAACTAATCACCCCTACATATCTAAAGTTTTAGAGAATGCAAAAAGTTATTCAAATATTTAGAAGAAAATACTTGTCAAATAAGATTTTTACTAACTTATTTCATACATGGTATTGTAACTGGGGGTATTTTTATTGAGAAGATAATAAGACGGTCAAATAAGTTCGATACATTGACCTCAAACATGTGTGCAGATACATGATCAGATAAAATAACGAGTATAATAAAGTCGGGTGCTTACTCTTTTCATACACCAAAATTACTAACAAAAGTAGCGTGTCCGGAGATGAAATTACTAAGAATCATTAGCCACCTCGTTGACATGAAAGGTATAAATATCACATTCAGATAAAACGCAGGTATAAATACATCACCTCATTATTTGTATGATGATTATTAATATGAGATTATATATGTCATAGATATTTTTTTTTTTTTGAGCAAAGTTAGGGATCTTGTTTGAAGACCTTATTTAGAAACTTAATGATGTGATTTTAATGTAATCATTGTATTAGTTGTGAGTTTCAATATTAAATGGAGTCCACAACCAATCCAATGGTTATACATTATTTTATCCCTAAATAAGGTTCCCAAATGACATTTTTCATTTTTTTTTAGTTTAATGATGAGAGATGTTCCGCTAATTTACATGAATTGTGATTAATCTCATTCTCAATTTGGTTAAAGACAGATCAACCACGTCGGGACTAAGATATTCTGATGATGTACAATATATATTTATGCACCTCGACCACCTGTCAAGTAGTAAATATAGTAATAAATGATGAGAGTAACAAAATATAATTTAAGTGTTTCGATCAGGATGACCTACTTTACTGTGAAAGGTTATGATGACTTGAATATTTTATTGTTCAAAGAATATAAAATGCTAAGATGAGAGTAATATATGAGAGGTGTCCATCTTGTGCACATGGGACTTACAAGTTACAATTTATAAGTAATTTCTGACAAATTGAGACGCCTTTCTTATTTCAAGTGTGGTAGTTTGTTTGAGGTGGTGCCTTTCTTGTAATAGGTGAAATAGTTCTGTGGAGATGGTGACATACGCATTTCATGGAAATTTCCTCTTGTTAGTTGCAGACCGAGTCTCTCAAAATGGAACGAATGACTTAATCTAACTGTCTCCATCTTGTGGTAGGCTTGGCCTACATTTTTAAATTGAGGCTCGAAGTTGAGCTTGGTCTATGAGTCTAGGCTTGGTTTGTAATTTTGGGCCCGGTTCATCATATTTAATGAGAGATAAGTTTTTTATAATTTAATCTCAAAAAATTATTAAAATATAAATTAAAAAAAATTAAATTTATAATTTATTCATATTTCCTCAATAAATTGTTGATGTTTTTTGGTAACGAGAGGGACACTTAACTAAAAAGTAAAAGCAGAAGCCACCGACACAATTTATCCCTAGTTCCCCACGATGCCGACGCTATAAATATGTGGTTGAAGTTTCAGTCACGTGTTTGGTATGGGGATTTTAAAACCGTGGTATCAAAAAATTATTTTTGCATACCATGTTTTCATTTTTTCTTCTTTTTATTAATATGTTATTTTTCATGATCAATGGTCAATATTAAATTAAAAGAAGATCTCTGACCCAAACTCATGGAAATGAAGTTGAAACCAATTACGTCTCAGATAATCTCTCAAACACACAGTGCCTTTGGTGCTGAGAGAAAGATTCAATATAATATAACTTGGAATAATCGTATCGAAAGATACTCTATAATATTAAATATTGATCATATAATATTTTATATTTTAAAATTTAATTTATTTTTTTAATTAAGTAACTTAAAACTAAAATTAATAGAAAAAAAAAAAAGAAGTAAGGATGAATTAGTGGGGTTGTTATTTTTTGTCATAGAAAATTGTGTTGATTGAGTTATCTGATATTGAAAATATATAATAAAAATGAGATTTTTAGTGGAAAAAAAATTATTGGTATTTATTTTGGATCATTGGATTAAAATAGATTAAAATTGAATTATCTTGACTGTTGATATATTTTTATAAATTAAAAATTTAACTGATGAGACGACTTGGGGTTAGGAGCAATCTACCTTTGTCTCATTTCTTTTTAAAGTCAAGAATATAATGTCAGGTAAGAAGCTACCAAAAAAAGTCATATCTTACTCCATTTCTTCTGAATGACAAGATGATCGACAACGGTAAGGAACATTCACTCTCTTGGGCCAGCTATATCTCGAATTACACCATTTCCCCTATGCTTTTGGGGACTATGGGGAAGGGCTCATACTTACTGCAGGTCTATTTTGTAGCTGTAATATTATATAAACTATAGCTCAAGACCTTCTAAACTCAATGAGGCATAGGAAGAAGACTAAAGGGCAGTTTGGTTAGGGGGTTGGCAAGATGAGTTTGGGAAAAATAGTCCAAATGACCTTCAAACCTTATGTTTAGATTGAAAATTTAATTTTGGATTCTCAAACACAGACCGTAGTTGGTCCAAATATTAAACTCATGACCAAATTTTTCGTCAAACCTAGGGGGGTAGGTTTGGAAAGATGAGTTAAGGGATTAA